CCCCCTCCTATCCTCCCCCTCTCACAGCACTGAAAGATAAAGCGAACAGAGGGGCTCCCAATGACCGTTCCCCATCCTCAAAAAGGAAGAGGAAAACACCAACCTCCAATAGCAATTAGGAACTAAGTCGCCCAGTGACAGAGCATGGAGAGTTTTTGTGGAGCTTGGCTCCCGGCTTCAAGACTCAAGATTTGTGACAGTTGAATGAATATATTTTCATTAACTCGACTGTCACAAATCTACACTCAACCTGCTCACCAAACCAGCAATGACGAGAGCAGGTCGATTTGAAGTGTGAACCATGAAGCAAGATTGGGGACTTGGCTAACTGCTCCTGCCTGGACATTAGCCCACAGGGGAGGCCAATCCTATAGTCTGGAAGACCCAACTGCATTTCTGTGGTGGGGGTGGGGGTGAGCAGGAGGAGGATGAGGATGATGATGATGACGACGATGACATGGGGATGGGAGGAGCAGCTTCCTATGTTGAATGTCCAGTCTGGGGCCTAGCCCTGTGTTAACTACTTCCCGCTTACACAATCCTAACGTGACAGGCATGGGTAAGAGTCAAAATGTTTAACAACCAGAATCAGAAAACACGGGCCAATCAGAACTACTGCTGTGCACTGGCTGATGGCAGCCCTGATGAGAGACACTTTATTCCCATTTTACAGATGAGAAAACAAAGGTCCCAGGAGATAAACAGGATCCCCTTCTCAGGGTTGTTGAGCATAAGGGACAATAGAAGTAGAGCTTCTACCAGGACACTCTTGCCCTTGCTCCTAATTTTCCTGGGTGGCAGGAATAGAGTTTCTGCTGCCAGCGGCATGGCCACTGGAGGGTTCTCTGCAGCTTCCCCTGGCTCTGCATCTCAGACAATTCTGTTTCCCGCCCACCTCCTTGAGCTCTAGGAGGAAAATTAGAAACTCCCCATTTCCTGCCCCCCCCGGGAGAGGCTCCTCTCACAGGCCCCACTTACAGTACTCAATGCCTTTGATCAGATCCTGGAAGTAGAAACGGGCCTGGTCTTCAGAGAGCGGTTTGAGGGTGGGCACTTCCATCACAGGCCTGAAAGGTCGACACACGCATGAGCAGCAGAACTGACACCAGCCTTTGCTTTCTCTCAGTGCAGAGCCCAGCATCACCTCGCTCCGCTTCACAAGCCCAAGAAGCTTTGGGCAGCAGCCCGGCCAGGGCTGGGGACACTCACCCTTGGTTGACCAGTTCAAACACTGCAGGGAAGAGAAGGGGGAAATGGTTACATTGGAAACTGGAAATCCATCTTCCTCGCCATCATCCTCTCCTCCCAACCACCCCTAAAAACACCGAGAAGCACGGAAACTAACAGTGGGATTGGAGCAAGAAACAGCCCACTAAACCAAGCCGCTCTATGTCCTCCTTTTCTAAGTTCCCATCAGGAGGCTAAGGGTCAGAGATTTCTGATGTCCTAGGACCCCAACCTGGTTGTACGTCTACCCATCAGATACCCAGAGAAAACAAAGCAGGGAGACAGGAGACAGGCGGGGTCCCAGGGATATGACTGATGCTAAACTGTGTCAGTCTAAAGCAGCGGTTCTCAACCTGTGGGTCGTGACCCCTTTGGGGGTCGAACGACCCTTTCACAGGGGTCGCCTAAGACCATCAGAAAACACATATATAATTACATATTGTTTTTGTGATTAATCACTATGCTTTAATTATATTCAATTTGTAACAATGAAATTGGGGGTCACCACAACATGAGGAACTGTATTAAAGGGTCACGGCATTAGGAAGGTTGAGAACCACTGGTCTAAAGGGACGCAATCCCAATGTCGATTTACTTAAGCCCAAAGAATAGCCCCAGGGGTCTTAAATACCCTAGGAACATTTCGATTCAAGAAAGAAACTAGCATGAACAGGTTTCAACAGCCCCTCCCCAGTTCTCCAAGCTGCTGGGCTGTGTCAGGTTACAGACCAAGAATAGTTGGTAATATTGCTCCAACTCAGCACTCGGTGCAGATGGCCCTTGGACCCCTCCTGACTCTCGAGTCAAACCAAGACTTCGAGCTACCTAACAGAGCCCTTCTGAACTCACATTCACACAGGACATGCACAGGCTTCACACTGTGTCAGTTTCTTCCCAGCCCAGGGTATATGGAAACTGCCCCTGGCAACTGCTAATCTGCATTGTCTCTATGGATTTGCCTATTCTGGACATTTCCAACATAGGGAATCCCACAACAGTGACTTTTTGCGTCTGGCTTTGTCACTCAGCACAATGTTTTCATCCATGTTGTAGCATTTATCAATACCCAGTTACTTTTCATGGCTGCATACTATTCCATTGTATGGACAGATCACATTGTGCTTATCCATTCATCAGTTGATGGGCATTTGGGTTGCTTCTACTCTCTGGCTGGTGTGAATAATGCTGCTGTGAACATTCGTGTCCAAGTATTTATATGGATAACTACTTTCAGTTCTTTTGAGTATATACCCTGGAGTGGAATTACTGAGTGACGTGGTATAATTATCTTAATTTTGTTCTGCTTGGACAAACAGAACTGGGAATACGAAGCTATACTTTAGGAAGTGAAAACATAGCATAGCGAGTTTCAAAATCAAGTAGAGATGGAATTGTCTGTTGTTCTAGAATCATCCTACCCACATCGGAGTCAATGTATGGAAGAAACCAAAAAGTTTTTCAAAGCTCTCCAAGGGCTGAGGTGGCCGAGGAGAAAGGGCCAAAGCCTCAGACAAAAGCAAGGCTTAAAAGTTCGAACCAGAGAAGGAACCTGCCTCCCCCAGGGCCCCTTCCTATCTTTTAAGTTCATCAACCAGCATCGAGCAAAACAGAGGTAGGGCAGCTCCGCCCTGGCTTCAGACTGTGGCTAAAAGCCTAGGCAGCAGCACTGACGGTAAAGCCACAGACAGGAGCGTGGGTCCCCCAGCTCTGGCCTTGCCTGCCTCGGTTATATAAGTCTCAACTCTCAAGAACTGCCTCATGAATTTCTGCGCCTCCCTCCCTCCCACCCAAGCACCATAAATCAGCTGGCGTGGGGGAAGCTGGCCTGCTGAAACAGGTCTATTTTCAGTCGCTCACAGTTGAACCACGCTTGCGGCTGAGCGGTGGGTGGGACGTTTCTAACCTCTAGAAATGCTGGTCATGTCCTCCACCCTTTGGGGTCTGGCCTGCAGCTGCAGGACCCTTGTTGATACCTCCCTACGGGCCTCACAGGTTATCCTGGAACAATTTCCAAAACCACTGGAATCAAATACCAAAGGTCAGCCTGGCTCCTTGTCACACCACCACCTTAACAAGTGAAAAACACCCAGCTGGTGTGGCTCAATGGTTGAGCATCAACCCAGGAACCAGGAGCTCAGGGTTCCATTCCGGGTCAGGGCACACGCCCAGCTGTGAGCTCGATGCCCAGGTTGCAGGCTCGATCCCCAATGGGGGGCGTGCAGGAGGTAGCCGGTCAATGATTCTCTCTCATCATTGATGTTTCTCTCTCTCCCTCTACCTTCCCCTCTGAAATCAATAAAAAAAAATTTTTTTTAAGTGAAAAACCCTATGGGCACCACTCTCATGAATGCCTACCCAAGCCAAACATTATCTGGACATGTGACCTGTCAATCACCTACTCAGGGGCCCAACAGCCTGCTGTTCAGTTTTGAACTAGTCCGGCCCTTCTTTCCTTCATCAGCCTTTACAATGAGAGCTGCCCAAGGTCCTCACCATTTTTTTTAAAATGAGGCTTCTGAAGACACGCCCAAGACCTTCCATTTCCACGTGCAGGGCCCAGGCCCTCTGTGCCCCTCCCCCCAAGGCTCCAAATGCCCCACCATGGTCTCCCATACCCTTCACCCTCACCCCCACCTATTCTCTCTGGCTTACTCTGCCCCGGCCATGTTTTTGTCCAAACACACAAAGCTCCCACCAGCCTTTGTGCCTGCTGCCCCAGATGTAACAGGGCCGTACCCTTGACAATCAGGTGCTTACTGGTTAGCTCCTATCTGAAGTGGGCCCTCCATCTCTCTATCACCCTATTTAACCTTCTTCAGAGCATCTGTGTGAAGTTGATTATCTGACTTATTTAGGTGTTGACTGTCATCCCCAACTAGAATGTCAGCTTCCTAAGAGTAGGGCCTCATCTTTCCTCCTCATCACGGCATCCTCGGTGCCTAGAATAGTACCCAGCAGGTAGTAGTTGCTCAATAAACACTTGCAAGTGAACGAATAGGACATGCAGATAAAGAAAGCCCCAGCAAGAACTCCCTGCCACCTCTTGCTTCAAATCAGGGGCGCGGCTTTCTGTGGGGCGCGCTGTGGGGCCCAGCTGAAATGGGAAAGGAGAAGCTGTCTTGGAGGGAGATGGCAGGGGCAGGGGCCGCCTCAAGAGTATGCCACGGCTTTGGCAGTCACAGCTGCCTGAGCAAGGGTGGCAGAAGGCAAGGGCTCAAGTCTTACCCATGTACAGATGGTCCTCATTGGGGTCATCCAGGACCTGTTGGCACAGCCACATGGAACAGGCGGAGACAGGAGCAGGGAGAGGAAGAGAGAGAAAGATATGAATGGGGAGGAAGCAGCATCCAACACGACCACAAGGGTCCAAACTCTCAAGGGTCCAAAACACCCAGAAAGGTTTCAAAAGGGAGGGGGCAAATTCCTCCCTGAGAAATGTCTCAGGTTGAATAAGAACCCCACCTGTCTCCTAGGAGACAACTACATGGGTCCTCAAGGTGAAAATTCAAATCCTGTCCCCCTTCTCCCCAGCCCCAGCAGGACATGACGCCTCCCGGCCTGGACAGGCCACAGCACTTTCTCTCTCTCCTTCTCTCACGGCCTCTGCTTCCATCCGATCACTATTTCCCCCTTTTCAGAAACCGCAGGACACATGATATCACGACAGGTTGAAAGTAGCAGATACCAGAATCCAGTCATCTTCTCTTAAGCCAGACATTAACTACAACAAAAATTTGCAAAAATGTAAAACTATGCCCGGCCCATGTGGCTCAGTGGTTGAGTGTCAACCTATGAGCCAGGAGATCACGGTTGGATTCCTGGTCAGGGCACATGCCCGGGTTGTGGGCTTGATCCCCAGGAGGGGGTGCACAGGAGGCAGCCAATCAATGATTCTCATCATTGATGTTTCTATCTCTATTTCCCTCTCCCTTCCTCTCTGAAATCAATAAAGGTATTTTTTTAAAGTAAAATTATGCCTCTCTTCTAATTACTACTGCAATAAGCTGTCAGAGGTGCCGTGGCTCTCCCTGGAGAATAGCGATGTGGCATTTGGGTAATAACAGAGCCAGACCTCCCAGGTGTCTGTCTCCCCCCGCCCCCACCTCACCTCCACCAGCTTCACCACGTTGGGGTGGTCCAGCTTCTTGAGGATGGCAATTTCCTGGTACACCTGCTCAATGGGGCCCCTGGGCTGGATGCAGCCCCCTGGGGCTGGCCGGGTGCCTCGGGGCGGGGGGCGACCTGGAGAAGACACAAACCATCTCAGGGACGGGACTGGAGTGACTGATGCCACCAGGGGCTTCACACGGCCTCCTCCTCATCTGTTTCTTCTGCTGCTGAAAATCAGCAAGGCTAGAACCACGGTCCTGTTGTTCAGCCTTCTGTGAATCCCCTCCTTCCCATCCCCGGCTCCAGAGAGAGTCAGGAGTCCACGGAGGGATGGAGAGAAGAAGGCTGGGGTCTGGCTTGGCAATCTCAACGTATGAGGGTGAGTCAATCCCTGCTCCTCTCTCTGGGACTCAAAAACATTACCCCTCATCTCCTTAACTCTTAAAACACCAGAGATAGCAAATGAAGTCAGAAATAGGAAAAGATGTAAGAGCCGATGAGACAAAAAAAAAAAAAAGATGATGCCACGTGCTCGCTTTGGCAGCACATATACTAAAATTGGAACGATACAGAGAAGATTAGCATGGCCCCTGTGCAAGGATGGCATGCAAATTCGTGAAGCGTTCCATATTCTTTAGGAAAAAAAATAAAAAAAGATGATGCCATAGTTCAGTGCCTGGCCCTGTGGTGACTGACAGTCAAAAGGCCACAATGCTGGAAAGAGGCAATGGTTAAAACGCATAATGTTGCACACCCTATGGAAGCCAGCATCGAAGCGTGAGTCACAGAACTAGACCTGGACCGTGTTTGGAAAAGTGAAAGCGAGGTACAGGTGTCAGAAGTGGGGCGTGAAGGGGAGTTCGAAGGGAAAGGGAGGGAGGGCCCTGACAAACTCCTCTTAAAAAGCAAGGAGTCAGGAAGCACTGGCTACACCTGTTGGAACAGGTGGGAAGTGACTAATGTAGGTAACAAGAGAGGAGCTAAACAGTACATTGGCTGGTTGGGAAAGGGAGGTTAGAAAAGGACTTCAGAGGAAGTCAGAGGTAGATGGCAAAAACGGATACATCGGTCCTGGCCGGTGGTTCAGTGGTTAGAGCTTCGGCCTGAGCACCAAAGGGTCTTGGGTTCAATTCCCAGTCAAGGGCATGTACCTGGATTGAAGGTTCTATCCTTGGGCCAGTCAGGGTGTGCGCAGGAGGCAACCAACCAATCTCTCTCTCTCTCTCTCTCTCCGCCCCCCCCCCACTCCCTCCCTTCTACTCTCTCTAAAAAAAAAACAATAGAAACTATATCCCCAGGTGAGGATTAACAACAACAAAAAAGGATAAATCAAGAAGTAATGGCATAAGATATTATCTGACTTGGAGTTCAGAGGAGCAGGATAAAGCAGGGACCTGTGATAGGATGAGGTTTATGTTTTCTCTTATCTGTGTTCTCTCTGTGGCCCACGCTGACATTCTGCCCAGCAATGCTGGCGGGGAGCAGCCTGATACACCCACATGCGGGTCTATCATCTGACCACAGGCCGCCATTACCAGCTCCTCAAAGAGCGAGAAGTGGGCTGCCTGAGGGAGGCGGAGGCGTACAGCAAGAACCGCTGTTCTCCACTATACGCCCTCCTGTACTTTTCTGGTAGATCTAGTTCCAATACTTCATGGTACTTAAAGTTTTTTAATTCACCATTTCGAAACCTGTCAATCAATGGTTTTTAGTACATTCGTGAGGTTGTGCAACCATCACCAACAGCTAATCCAGAACATTTTCATGCCCCCCCACAACCCCATACCTATTAGCAGTCTTCCCCAAATTCCCTTACACTCAACCCCAGGAAACCAGCAATCTGTTTTCTCTATGGATTTGCCTATTCTGGACATTTCACAGAAGTAGAATCACACACCACGTGACCTTTTTGTGTCTGGCTTCTTTCACTCGGCGTCATGTTTTCAAGGTCATCTGTGTGACCGTATGAATCGTGCCTCATTTCTTTTGATGGCTGAGTAGTATTTCATTGGCTAGACCACCTTTCGTTTACCCATTCATCTGTTGACAGACATCTGGGTTGTTTCCACTTTCCGGCTATTACAAATAGTGCTTCTACGGACATTCACGTACAAGCTTTGGTGGGAACGTGTGTTTTCATTCCTAGAAGTGGAACTGCTGGCTCAGATGGGAACTCCATGTTTAACTTTTTGAGGAAATGACAAACTTTTCCTCTAATGGATTTTTTGACTTTGTAACCTACATTATGTTAAATACTTTTTATTAATGAAAATGAATTTCAAAACCTCAGGAGGAGGCCCAGCGCTGTCTTTGGGGTGTCCGCCCAGTGCACCCTCTTGTAGGGGACACCATTCAGTGGGACCTTCTCTGTGTTGCCCCAACCCCTGCACCTAAGAGAAAGGGCCCCCCAAACTCACGTGGAAAGCCGGCCTGTCGGATCAGCTTCTTTTTGGATAGCACCTTCATCGCCTGTGGGAGAAAAGACCCCGCGTCCTGATTAAAGCGCAGAGAGCGGCGGGGAGAGTTCCCTCCTCGCGTAGGCTTGCCCCAGCTCTTGGCTCCCTGGCTGTTTGGGGACAATGGTGTGACCCGAGGGGGTCAAGCAGCAGCAGGTTCTGTGGAGGTTGGCCTCCCAGGGTCCCTCCAGGTCAGCTTCCCCAGCTAAAAGGGCACAAGCCGTGGGCTTCGCCGCCACTGAACGAGACGTGAGTGAGCTGGGGTGATGCGGCAGGACTGGCTGTTTGACACGTGGGAAAAGTGAGGGTTAGCAGTTATGCCACTTGCTCAAGGTCACGCAGTTGGCACACGAGAGAGGCAGGATTTGAACCTACATTGGACTGACTCCAAAGCCTCAGCTACAAGGGCTGTTTGGCTCACTACCTCCTGGTTCTTAGGGCTATGGAGGATGTAGAAATGGCAGCCCGGAGTAAGGATATGAGACGTCTGCTGATTTCTTTCATTCATTCATTCATTCATTCATTCATTCATTCTTCCTAAGCCATCCCTTCACCTCCCTATGTCCCCATCTGTAAAACAGAAATACCACTTTCTTCCTAATGCACAAAATGGACATGACCTAACAATAAAATGACACAACAGCTGAGAAAACCTTCCAGGAAGCTGCGTGCTGAAAAGGAGGTCTTGTCTTAGCCTGTTTGGCTCAGTGGATAGAGCGTTGGACCACAGACTGAAGGCTCCCAGGTTCAATTCCGGTCAAGGTCATGTATCTCCATTGCAGGTTCCATCTCCAGCCCTGGTCAGGGCGCGTGTGGGAGGCAACCAATCGATGTGTCTCTCTCACATTGATGTTTCTCTCTCTCCTCTCTCTAAAAAGTCAATGGAAAAATATCCTCTTGTGAAGATTAACAAAAAATGAATAAATAAATAAGAAAAGGAGGTCTTTGTCTTTGGACAAGGATGGGGGTGGAGAGGGATGTGAATACTCACATAGTAGGTGTTGTCATTTTCATTGTAGGCCAACTTGACCACGCCATAGGAGCCCTGGATAAAGGGAGATGACCATGACACACAATAAAAAATTATGATCTGCCAAATCTTCCCTGCAATTGCATTTTGTTGGATCTATAGTTTTTAGAAAGTTTGAATTAGTTGCCAAAACAGAAAGACTGGATATAAGAATCTAGATTCCCAGCCTCCGACGATCTGACCATATGAAGCCAATAATCATTGCCATATGTTAGTTTGCCACAGACCTCACCACTCCCGGCTGCCATACCTAGGATGCTCTGCTCATTTATATTAGTTCTCTATTGGCATGTGAGCTTTTTAAAAATCGATCTTTATTGTTGAAAGTATTACAGATGTCCTCCTTCTTTCCCCCATTGACCCCTTCTAGTGGCGGGTGAGTTTTTGACCCCTGTAACGATACTGCCCATTGGCTGAAACCAAAGCAAAAACAGATGTGAGTACCTTAGGGGAGAATAAAGCAACACTAATATGGGGATGCTATAACTATCACCGTAGTGATAGGGGATTTCTCTGGATACTTTCTGTGCTTTTGCAGAAACACATTAGTATTATGATATAAAAACAAATAAGACCCTGATCCCAAAACCTGGCCCGCACCCTTGCCTCCAAGGACTCCTCTCGCACTCCCAGCTCTGATGGCTGCCCCTCCCCCCGCCCCGCCCAGTATCTGAGACAAACTGGCTCCTAGGATACTTACCTTTCCAATTTCATCCTTCAGTGTGTACTGGTTCAGCTGAACACAATCCTGGAAAGTAAACAGAAACACACAGAACATGAACTGTAAGTTTGCAACTAGATAAACCTGTCACGAACATCAAGAAAGAGGGCCATTGCCCAGCTGGTGTTGCTCAGTGAACTGAACATCGACCCAAGCACCAAGAGGTCGCTGGTTCGATTCCAGGTCAGGGCATATGCCCGGGTTGTGGACTCCATCCCCAGTAGGGCAGGAGGCAGCCAATCGATGTTTCTCTCTCATGGGTGTTTCTATCTCTCTCTCCCTCTCCCTTTCTCTCTCTCTAAAATCAATAAAAACATATTTTTTAAAATTTTAAAGAAAAGAAAAGAAAGAAAGAGGGCATTCCCAGCCCCCCAGAAGCATCCCCAGCCACCGGCCCCTCCTCAGGGTGGCCAGCGTCCTGACTTCCAACAGCAGCTCTTGTACATTGCAAATATGTAATAAACAGTTTGGACTCTCTTAATAGCCATCTTTAAAAGATTGTACCCACTTATAAAAAGTTCACTTTAAATTAATTTAAATTACTTGCTTAAATTAAACAAGTAATCCATGACCACGTTGTCCTATAGAAATGTAAAATGATACAAGACGTGCCCTTGGGACAAGGTTTCTTAGATAATATATAAAAAGTACAGAACATAAAAGGAAACAAATCATTAACTGGACTTCATCAAAATTAAACCTTTTGCTCTTCCAGATACTGTTAAAGAAAATGAACAGCAAGCCACACACTAAAAGAAACTATTTGCAACACATATATCAGACAAAGGACTGGTATCCGGAATATATAAAGAACTCTCACAACTCATTAATAAGAAGACAACCCAATATGTTTTTTTAAATAGGTGAAAGAGCCCTAGCCAGTTTTGCTCAATGGATAGAGCATGGTCCTGAGTTCGATTCCAGTCAAGAGCACATGCTGGGTTGCAGGCTCGATCCCCAATAGGGGGCGTGCAAGAGGTAGCCGATCAGTGATTCTCTCTCATCATTGATGTTTCTATATCTCTCTCCCTCTCCCTTCCTCTCTGAAATCAATAAAATACATATTTTTAAAAAATAAAAATAGGCAAAAGATTTGGAAAAAATTTCTCCAAAGAAGACACAAATGACTAAGAAGCATTAATCAAGGGAGAAATAATTTAAACCACACCCAATAGATTAGTTAAAATCAAGAAGATTGACCAAAGAATTTAGGGCATATAGAACCTTCATACACTGCCGGTGGGAATTTAAAATGGTGCAGCCTCTTTATTTTTTTAATCCACACCAAGCATATTCTTCAATTGATTTTGAGAGAGAATGGAAGAGAGGTGGGGAGTGGAGGGGAGAGAGAGAGAGATAGATCAATGTGAGAGAGACACATTAATTGATTGTCTCCTGCACGTGCCCCGGGAATTGAGCCTGCAACTGAGGTACTAGAATCGAACCTGGGACCCTTCAGTCTGAGGCCTGACACTCTATACACTAAGCCAAACCAGCTAGGGCGGTGCAGCCTCTTTAGAAAACAGTTTTGGGGGCCTGGCTGGTGTTGCTCAGTGGTTGAGCGACAACCTATGAACCAAGAGGTCCCCGGTTCAATTCCCAGTCAGGGCACATGCCGAGGTTGTGGGCTCGATCCCTAGTAGGGGCGTGCAGGAGGCAGCCGATCAATGATTATCTCTCATCATTGATGTTTCTCTCTCTCTCTCTCTCTCTCTCTCTCTCTCTCTTTCTCCCCCCCCCTTTCCCTTCCTCTCTGAAATCAATAAAATATATATTAAAAAAAGAAAACAGTTTGGCAATATCTTAACATACATTTACCATATGATCCAGCCATTCTACTCCTAGGCATTTACCCATGAGAAATTATAACACATATCCAGGCAAAGGCTTGTGTACAAATGTTAACGACAGCTTTATTTGGAAAAGCCGAAAGCTGGAAACAACCCAAACATCCAACAAGCTGGGGCATATCTGAACAGTGGAGTTCTGTTTAGCAATAACAAGGAAGGAACAACAGCGTGGACAAACCTCAGCATCATTATACTGTGAAAGAAGCTAAGCTAAAAGAGACTACGTGCTTAAACAATTCCACTCAATTCCACTTGCATAAAATCCTAGAACTTGCAAATTAATCTATGATGATAAAAACCAGGTCAGTAGGCCCTAGCCAGTTTGGCTCAGTAGATAGAGCGTCGGCCTGTGGACTGAAGGGTCCTTGGTTCGATTCCAGTCAAGGGCACATGCCCTGGTTGCGGTAGGGGGCATATAGGAGGCAGCCAATCAATGACTCTCTCTCATCATTGATGTTTCTATCACTCTCTCTCTCTCTCCCTTCCTCTCTGAAATTAATAAAAATATATTTTAAAAAAACAACAACACACCAGGTCAGCAGTTATGTGGGAAAGTGAAGTGGGGGGAGGGATGCATCGCTGGGTGTGCTGGCAAAGCCTGTGATCTTGATTGGGGTGATGGCCCTCAAAATGTAGTTAAATATCAGCCCCTTTATTAAAGCCATTCCTGATTTCCAGGCTTCTCCCAATTAAATTTATTCATTCCTTCCTTCAACAAACATTTTCAAGGTCCTACTACGTGCCAGGCACTGTGTGAGGTGAGCGCTGGGGACACAATGGGGAACAAGACCGTCCCTACGGAGCTTACATTCTAGCTGCGGGGAGACAGGCCATAAGCAACTAAACAAACACAAGACATAACATAACAGTGATGAGTCAACAGGGCAAAAGGACAGGCTGCTTAGAGAGGGTAGTCTGGGGCCTTTCAGAGGTGACATTTGAGTAGAGACTTGGATGTCAGATGGAGGTGACCTTGCAAAGACGGGAGAAGTTCCAAGCAGAGGAGACGGCAAAGCTATGGGCCTAAGGAAGGGAAGGAGCTTGGCTACCTGAAGAATATAAGGAAGTGAGTGTGGATGGAGGTCTGTGAGTCCCCAGCAGAAAGGCAGGAGATGGGGCAGGAGAAGAGATGGGTCAGATCACGCAGGCCCCGTGAACCTGGTAGGGATCTGAGTTCTGATCTACCTCCCAGCAGGTCACAGCAAGGATCGGATGAGAAATGCACACACAGTGTTGAGCGCAGTGCCTGGCGCCAGCAAACCACCCAACCAGGGGGGGCCAGGCTGTAAGGCCATGAGGCCTCTCAGGGACCTGCCACCCCCAGTTCAGAGCCCCCCACACGATTTCCAACCACCAGCCCATGCATCTCTTTGCGAGAGGCGCTCTCTGGCCTCCAGATGCTCTGCTCACACTCAGGGCAGGTGGGATAACTCAGACTTAGTTCTACCTGCCTCCCATGTTCCCCCCTGGCAACCAGCTCCATAACTGCATCCTTAGCTGACTTCCTTCCCTCTCGCTTCCCTCCCCACCTGGGTTTTCTGGGGTCACCTCCCCAGTCAGCTGGTTGCACTGGGAATGTTCTGGGGGAGCCGATCTAACATGGAGAGCCCGGGCCCAGCTGTCGCTCACGCACCTGCAAACCAGTGATGGAGACGTGGCGGGACTCCACGGTGGGCCGCCGGGGCAGCCGTGGCGAGGACTGCGGGGAGCCCACGGGTGAGGAGGGTTGGGCCGGGTGGATGCAGCGGCCATTCGCATCCAGCTGGGACCGCTCCTGCAGGGACAGCTTGCGACTGGAGAGGTGGGGTCGGGCCTGGGACCCAGGGTCCAGGGGGCCTTCTGGGCCATCAGCCTCCAGGAGCGGGTCCTGAGCCAGGCCGTGGCCCACAGCGCAGTCCGGCTCGCACTCGGTGACCACGATGAAGGACTCCATGCCCAGGCAGATGCTCAGGGACGAGAGGCCCCGCAGGGCCTCGCAAGGCTTCTGGCCTTCGCTGCTGCTGCTGCTGCTCCCGCCCCCCAGCTCATCCTGGGGGGCGGCCGGGTCACTGCTGGGCTGACTAGAGACACATGATGACATGGTGCATGCGCGGACCTCATCTGACAAGGACACTCCGGGGCAGTCCCATGAGCAGCGGTGCCACCTGCAGAGAGAGGGAGGGTCAGCGCCCACCCTGCTGCTGGCCCAGGCTGGGGCCTGGGTTGACATCCTAAAAAAACCTTGCAAAACCTGATCTCTGAGTCTACACAGAAATGAACGCTCCACATTTCCTTGTTTTAAAAGCCCCTCCTCACACATAAAACAAGAATTCCAAACTCACCCTGGCCGGGAGGCTCAGTTAGTTGGGTGCCAACCCATACACCAAAAGGTTGTGAGTTTGATTCTGGGTCAGGGCACATACCTAGGTTGAGGGTACAATCCCCAGTCTGGGCATATACAGGAGACAACTGATCAATGTTCCTCTCTTTCTAAAAAGCAATAAAAACATATCCTCGGGTGATAATTAAAAAAAAAAGAAAAAGAATTCCAAACTCAATTTCAGAAGGAACCAAGTATGAGAAAACCCCAAAATAGAGCACGCAGGTCCCCTGCAGAGGGGGGCAGCTATTTCCAGCTCAAGCCAGCTATTGCGAAGCAGGAATCTGGGCCTAGTACTGCCCGGTTTCCCCCCCTTTTTTTTCTTCAAAAAAAGCCCTAAACCCAGAATGTTAGATGAGATCTCACAATTTTTTTTTTTTTAATTAGCAATTCTTTCAAATATTTTTGAACGCTGGGTAGGCCAAATGGAACACCTCCAGGCTGCATCACTTCACCATGGGGATGATTCAAACAGCACTTCACAGTTTACAAAACATCTGCACATCAGCATAATCTCACAAGCACACGAGGCTGCTGGTTGGCGGTCACAGGCCCATACTGTAAAAGGCGAAGAAGCTGAGGCCTGAGAGAAGGAAAGGGATTATGTCCAAGGTCTCCTAATGCAAAGCCCACGTACACAGCAGTTGGGTCTCCTGGCCAACGATCCTCAACCAACAAGTGGGGGTCAGGGGTCACATCGGACAAAGGATGGGTGCCCGGACAGTGGGAGCCAGGGCAGTTCGTGTTACCCAAGGAGCCAGGCGCTGTTTTCCTAGTTCAGGCCCCGGCTGGTGCCTGCCAGATGTGAGGCAAACAGGAGGTCAAGAACATGGATATCAAAATAGCTTGGTGGATCCTCAAAAAATTAAACAGAGAAGTACCACATGACCGAGCAACTCTGTTCCGAGGTATAGAACCTCCACGTCCATCCACAGGTGAACGGACAAAGCACAACAGGACCCAGCCACACAATGCAATACGATTCGGGCCTAAAAAGAAACGAAGCCCTGGCATGTGCTACCATCTAGATGCACTTCAAAATCATCACGCTAAGCGAAGGAAGCCAGACCCAAAGGTCACATCTGTATGATTCTATTTATACAAAAGGCCTAGAATAGGCAAATCCTCAGAGACAGAGAGGAGGTTAGTGGCTGCCTAGGACTGGGGAGGTGTGGGGCAGAATGGGCGTGACTGCTAACCGGGACAGGGTTTCCTTTTGGGGTGAGGAAAATGTTCTGGAACTGGAGAGATTGTGAATGTACTAAATGCCACTGCCTGGTATATTTTTAAATGGTTAATTAAAAAAAAAAAAGACCGATGCACTCCCTGAAGACTGTCAATTCCTTCCGTCTCTGGGACGGAAGATTGTTAAACTTTGGTTCACGTGCTCAACCAATTCTGCTGGACAATTGTCACAGGTGCTGCTGGGACTCGGGGAGCACCTCCCCAGATGTGGACGGTGCCAGCTCCGTGCTGATCACCACATTACAAAGGTGCTGAGTGGAGAGATGTTATGAATAAATTATCTCCTGATGACACTGGGTGGCAGTGAGGGGATAAAGAGGAAGGTACAGATGGGAGCAGAAAGCCAGGGCTCCCTGGAGGAAGTGGAAGAGGGGCAGAGAAATGTCACTGGCCCTCCTGGGACCGTTCTAAAAGAGGTATTTCAGGAACAGCTTCTATGTCAGCCCATTTAGATAGCGATGTAGGCAGATGGGCTCCCTGCTCTCATGCAGTGAGGAAAGACCAACGGAACAGCCATGAGGAAATAACCGTGTGTCCCAGCCTGGACACGGGCACAATTTATGAATACAGAGTTCACAGTAAAAGAACAACAAAAAGCCAATCATGTGACAAGATGCGTGGCGCTGTTAGGAGAATTACAAAGTCAAACTCCCATAAAATGGTTTGGTGGGGCCTCAAAACGTTCAACATAGAATGACCGCGTGACCCAGCAAGTCTTCCCCTAAGTATATACCCAAAAGAATGGAAAGCAGGGATTCAAACAGATACACAGACACTCGTGTTCACAGCAGCACTATTCACAATAGCCAAAAGGTGGAAACAACCCAAGGGCCCATCAACTGATGATGGATAAACAGAATGTGGTCTAACCATACAATGCAATATTATTCAGCCATAAAGAAGGAATGAAGTTCTGACATGTGCTAAGTGAAACAAGCTAGATATTAAAAGACAAACACCGTATGATTTCACTTACATGAGATACCAAGAGTAGGCAAATTCATAGAGACAGAAAGTAGAGTAGAGGTTAGCAGAGGCTGGTGGAGCAGGGAACAGGGAATCATTGCTTGTGGGGTACAGAATTTCTGTTTGAGGTGATAAAAAAATTCTAGAAGTAGTGATGATGGTTGCACAACATTGTGAATGTAACTAAAACCACTAAATTATACACATAAAAAATTATTAAAATTGTAAATTTCCTGTTATGTATATTTTACCAAAATCAAGAAAATAAACCCTCGCCAGTTTTTCTCAGTGGTTAGAGCGTCAGTCTGCAGACTGAAGGGTCACAGGTTCAATTCCAGTCAAGGGCATGTACCTCGGTTGTAGGCTTGATCCCCGGCCCCGGTTGGGAGGCAACCAATCCATGTCTCTCTCTCAAATCTATGTTTCTCTCTCTGTCCCTCCCCCTACCTTCTACTGTCTAAAAACCAATGGAAAAAAATATCCTCAGTGAAAATTTAAAAAGGAAGTAATAGTAAAACTGCAATGAAAACCACTTTTCCAACTATGGGGTAGACAAGGACAAAAAATATAATAACAACAACACTATTTTGGTGAGGCCACAGGGAGTATGAATTGGCACCATCCTTACAAAGAGAAATTCACCAATACTTAGCAAAATCCCAAATGCAGACCTTTGACTTAGCAATTCCGCACCCGAGTATTTATCTACAGGCAATCTCATACACACCACAAAAAAATGAGAAGGTTTTGGTAATGTGGTTTGAAAGGGCCATGCACAGGGGACTGAGTAAAAAAAATGAAAATGAGGTGCACATACCCCAGGGGAAAACCATGCTTTTCTTTTAAAAGAGGTGACTCTACACATCCCAATGTGAATTAGCTCCAAGACACACCATTTATTACAGGGGGGAAACGAACGCATTAGTATGCTGCTGCTGGCGTAGGGGGAAAGGCCATACATGCGTTCATGATTGCACGTGCATAGCATTCTTCTGGAAAGGGATACGAGAAAATGGTTAACAGTGGCCTCCCTTGGTTTGCAGAAGTGCGGAAACTAGGTGGGAGGGGCTTACTTTTCACTGTATGTACCTTTAGTTTAAAAGTAAAAATTGGAAAGAAGGTAACTGTAGCCATGGTAGGACTTAGGATGACAAGGCTATCTGTGGGGTGAGAGAGGGGGAGAGTGCGTCAGAATATCTGAGAAAGAAGTCTTAACTGTGGTCCTGTCTTGGCTTCCCTATCAGTTAAAGAATAAAACCCGCCCTGACCAGTTTGGCTCAGTGGCTAGAGCAGCCGTGGGCAAACTACGGCCTGTTTGAAATGAATAAAACTAAAAAAAAAAAAAAGACCGTACCCTTTTATGTAATGATGTTTACTTTGAATTTATATTAGTTCACACAAACACTCCATCCATGCTTTTGTTCCGGCCCTCCGGTCCAGTTTAAGAACCCATTGTGGCCCTCGAGTCAAAAAGTTTGCCCACCCCTGGGCTAGAGCGTCGGCCTGTGGACTGAAGAGTCCCAGGTTCGATTCCGGTCAAGGGCATGTACCTTGGTTGCGGGCACACCCCCAGTAGCGGGTGTGCAGGAGGCAGCTGATGGATGTTTCTCTCTCATGGATGTTTCTAACTCTCTATCCCTCTCCCTTCCTCTCTATAAAAAATCAATAAAATATATATTTTTTTAAAAGAATAAAACCTAAGTTCAACGTTCTCTGTGACCCCACTGCTATTACATTACATATCCCTTTTATGGTCCTTGTCTCCCAGGAGGGGAAAAGCAGGGCCCCTGAAGTTCAACTGCTTGAGCTCGCCACGGACAAGTGACCTAGCCTCTCTCGGCCTCAGTGTTCTTGTCTATAAAATGGGCACTCACCCAATAGTCATGAGGACTATGAAATGAACCCTCACTCAATATCCTGCCTGGTACATGGTCAAGTGATCAAAAAGCTATTATTTCCACACATGCCTATTCAATGCTTACTACCTGCCAGGCTGTGTTCCAGAATGTTCCCAGGAGGTACTGATGTCCAAGAGACCAGCCTGTTTGTTTGTTTTTTAAATATATTTTTATTGATTGATTTCAGAGAAGAAGGGAGAGGGAGAGAGAGAGAAACATCAATGATGAGAGAATCATTGATCAGCTGCCTCTTGCGTGCCCCCCACTGGGGATCCAGTGCACAACTCGGGCATGTGCCCTTGGCTGGAATTGAACCCGGACCCTTCAGTCTGCAGACCGATGCTCTATCCACTGAGCCAAACCAGCTAGGGCCAACCTGCTCTTGTGTGGCTCCCGGAGCCCTGGCCGTGTGGCCCGTCCTCCCACCCAGAGCCACCTCTGCCAGGGCGGCAGAGTTCCTGAAAAGAAAGCGAGCCTGGCAGCACCTGAGAACGTTAATGGAGATTTGCTTTTCTTGCCAAGAGAAAAACAATTGCTTATTGATTTCCACTCCAGGCCAAGGACACCAAACCTCCCCCTCCCCACCCCCCACCCACCCCACCCCCCGGAAAAGCTGCTTTAATCAGTCTCCCTGACAAGCTGGCACCTGGCCTAGCCTTGGCCTTGGCCATTGAGG